GAAGTGGCTTTGGCTGAGTTCATGGGGAAGAGTTAGGTGCCTAGTTACAAGCTCGGAAATTTACTACCTAGCAACTCAGGAAACAAATTGAATCACAAAACCTGATTTAAGAAGGAAGAAACGAAGAATGGTCTTGGAACTTGGAATCGATTCATACTAAAATGTTATAGATAAGTCACGCCAGCTTTCTGCAGGTCCATAGCCCGGAGGTCTCTTGAGCATGGCATTCTGCCAAGAGGACTGCAACTGTCTAGTTACAGATCCATCTGCAGATCAGTAGGGTCTTCTGAGCAGTTCCCACATCCAGCGTTTGGTGGAGGGTGGGTTGCACTTTGCCTTCTGCTCTGACCCCCCTCCTCAGTCTCCCCATCCAGCTAAATTAGGAATGACGCAGTGCCTGGGTGTGTTGGTTGGTTTGTTTTGAATGCAAATTTCAACCAGGGCAGATGCTGGTTTTTTTAGACACAGAATAACTTGGAACGTTGGCCCAAACAAGTGCCTGTTGTTTTTCAATCGCACATACTTCTTCTAAGAAGCTCCAAGTCAAGTTAAGAGCCCATTAAGCACGTGCACCACTGTTATCTGCATCGCTCACTCTGCAGGTTGCTTCCAGGTGGCCCTTGGCCAGGGCCGCTGCCTCTGTGTCAGGGGGCAGTTTCTGGAGGGGGGCTGCGTGGTCTCATTCAGAAAAGGCCTGGCCCGAGAAGGAGGAGACTCAGAAAAATGCCCTCCCTGTCGGGGTCTGGAGGGGAGCTGGCAGAGGCCACTTTCTAGGATCCATCACTTCGTTATCACACACACTTCTTAGAACCTGTCAGTTGGCTCGACCAAACAATTCTCTTGTACACCCACCAGCCAGACACCTCTTTAGGTGTTTCTCAACATGATGAAAGGCAACAGACAGGAAAAACAATCTCTCCCTGTTGAAAGAGACTGAACTGCCAAGGCTTCTGTCCCAAAGAACAGGCAGCCTGACCCCCTCCCCAGTCCTGTTCTCGAGCCTTTTAAAAGCCCTAGTCTCCCCAGAACACGCTTAGACTGGAAGGCTCAGTCGCATGAAAAGAGTCCACTTTCAACTGCGGTACATGACTTGTACCTCATGACGATGCCAGCTTTTAATTTGCGGAGGAACCATTAATGGACGAACAGCAGGGGATGGAAAGAACTTATCCCTCCTTGAGTTCTTTTCCAAGGAGGAGACAGCCATGCAGTCTCCATTCCACCTACAGCTGTAGTATCCTGAGTCTCAGAAATCATCCTATGCGTGGAGACCTGGCCTCGCCATCCTGTGGTGTGGACGGTGCAGAGCGATGGCAGTGTTTCAGTAGCGAGATCCTGCATCCTCACCACATTGTAGCACCACAGATATATCAAGAACTTCTGTCCCAACACAGACCATCGGTGTGAATTCATTTAAAATCATATTTTTTAAGTGCCAGTTAGGATGAGTGCCAGTAAAATGAGTTATTCTTAACTAATGATAGAATGTTTTTATTAGGCTTCCTTTCCTCACCCTGGGAACAGAGGAGTAAAAGTTTCAGCAGTGGGAGAGGAGGCTGATTTGGGGACATCAAGCAACACACCTTGGAGCTGAGATAGCCTGAGCTGTTGGGGATTAGGGAAGTGGGGATTCCAGAAAATTGAGGGGAAGGGTCAAGAAAGACAGAGGGGAAATGTCTTAGTGCATTTAGGTTGCTGTAATAGATGACCATAGGTTGGGTTGCTTAAACAGTGAACATTTATTCCTCAGTTCTGGAGGCTGGAAAGTCCAAGATGAAGTCAGCAGATACTGAATCTTCAGTATCTGATGAGAGCCCTTTCCCTGCTTCATAACCGGCCGTCTTCCTGCTGTGTCCTTATGTGGCAGAGAGAGCCATCTAGCTCTCCTGCCTCTTCTACAAAGACACTAATCCCATTCATGAGGGCCCTGCCGTCATGACCTAATCACCAAAGGCCCACCTCCAAACACCATTACATTGGGGGTTAGGATTTCAAGATATGAACTTGGGGAGGACACAGACATGCAGTTCATAATTAAAAAGAGACCCCCAAAGACACACTTTGCCTACTTTACAATTTTTCCCTGGGCCACAATGCTGTCACATACCATTGAAAATCATTGAGTGACATCTTGTGAATTGGCAAGGTTCAGGGAATTCAATGCAACAAAAATCACAGGGCACTTTTCACTGTAACCCTTTCCCGAGAAGTTGATCCACCTTATGCTAGTAAAAAATCTCAAGAACACAAAATGCTAGTTTAGTTAAAAGTTGGAGCCTACGCTCTATTTCCAGTAATAGTGGATCCTGAACAGCTGAGATCAAATCCACACAGGCTCTGCAAAGTAATAGCAGCCCCAATTAAAATGATGGTGGAGGCTCTCAGCACCTGCTAACATTGTACCTGGAAAGACTGTGTAGATCTTTCTAATTTTAAATTTGGGACTCACAAATTCCTAATTTCATTTTCTACTTGAAGAGATGCTATCTGAGTGGCAGAAGAAGACCATGACCTTCTATTCTGAAACTGTCTTGCAGCAAGATGGTACTTGTTTATGGGATTCTGATTTCAATCTGAGTTATTTTTGACAGTGCTGCATGTGGTGTCAACATACAGAGCCACTGTGGAGAATGCCTTAATTTAATTTTCTTTAATGTGTTAATTCTGTAATTGGTTCCCAAGCACGCAGCTCGGTAGAGTGAGGGGCGTGAAGTACTTGCCGGGGGTGCTGGCAGGGAAGGACATTTTGTAAGCATTGTCAGGCTTGATGGGCATACTCGGAGCATTCTATTCGCTTGGGTTATTTAAGACTGTGCAATTACAAAATAATTAGGATAAAAGCATTGAGGCTTTTAGATCTATGACGACTGCAGATAAACATAAATGGGATATTATGAGATTCAGAAGTGATTGCATAATTATGTGAAATTTTTTGCTTCTTAAGTACATAGATGTATCAAAAGAAGTTTCTAACAGGGTTTGCAGCCCAGAGGATGCTCCTTGGTTATTCTGTGCTTTGGGATAATGGTACTTAAACCTTTCCTCACTTACTTCCCACTGGTTACTCTTAGAGGCAGGTTGGGATGAGGGGGCTGGTAGGGAGATGGCATGAAAAAAATGCTAGTGAGGAAAAAAATGAAATGATGTGAAAGCAGTGAGAGGTGGGCACAAGGGGCATTGCAGCCTGAACTCTGCAGTCAGACAGCCCCCTAATTTCTGACCCAGCTCCACCACCTGCCCTGCATAAGGCATTTACACTCTCCAAGTACCGATTCCCCCACCCCCCGTGAGACGACGACCATGACCCTAGCACCCACTCAGCATCATACCTGGCAGGTATGGTTAGCAAAGCACTGTTGTCCCCAGGGCCCTGCCTCAAGCACGCAGCACAGTGCCTGCCTCGTCCCCCCTACACCTTAGTCTCCACAGAGTCTTCAAGAGAGACAGCGCCTTGACACTGTCCTCTGCCTGCCCTGGCTCTGGGCACGTGGGGCAGCACAAGACGCTGGGCAGAAGAGGGACCAGCCTCCCGGCAGGCAGAGTGTAACAGGCGATCTGAGTTAGCAGGAGGCGGCAGGGACTCTCACGTACGTGGGAAATGGAAACAGTAAGCTGCTTAGTAATTACTATTTTTTTTTAAGCGTCTGCCCCCTCACACTGTGGCTTCACACAGCACCGATGAGAACCACTGCTTCAGGATGGGACTATTTCAGGTTGTATTTAATTGAATGAAAACATTCCTTCCAGACCTGGTGTACCTTTGTCCACAGGTAGTGCATTGGGTCACTCCGAATGTTGTTCGTCTGGAACGTTCTAGGAAGGGGGAAAGCAACTGCTTTCCAGGTCATTTGCCTTGGTTCTAAAATATGCTGGTTTGCAGAGGAAAACAACGGTCATTTATGTCATTTCTTCCAGAACATAATTGCTGAGCATGAAATTCGTAATATCTCCTGTGCTGCCCAGGACCCGGAAGACCTCTCAACGTTTGCTTATATCACAAAAGATTTGAAGTCCAATCACCACTACTGCCACGTGTTTACTGCCTTCGATGTGGTGAGTAATGACCCTATTTGACAGACTAAATATTTCCCTGAATGTACTTGGACTTGATTGAAAGTTAAACTTGCAGTTAAGATGCTTGGCTTGTTTATCAAGAATTGAGGTTTACCTGGTCTAAGGTCTTTTGCAGACTCAGCTTTTCTGAGCTTTTCTTATATTTTCACTCGTCCATTGAATTTAGAACTCCACTTGTATCAAGTATCTGAACTGTCATTGCTCAATCACTAACTTCACTTTTCAAATTTGACGAATTCCTTTCCTGGTACCAAAATATGGTAAATTTGTTCCAGCCTTTTGGTTCCTTCACTCAGTATTTTGGATTCTCTGGTGACCATTTCTAAGTAGTAGTGCATGATAGTCTAGGTTTTTTTGGAAGAAAAATAAATTTCAATACCTCATGTAATATTTGTGCTTTTCTACATTGAATAGTAGTTAAAGTAGACATCTATAGATAATAATTGGGAACACCAAGGTTTGGTCCATTTAAATACGGCCCATATTCAGAAGTTAGTCTTGTAATGGCATCCTTGTGCTTTTACACCGCTCATAGTCTTGTTTGTTATTAAGTCTAAAGACTAGCCTGTATATTACAGACTTGGAAAATGAAAGCAGTTCTAGATAATAACAGTGTTACTTCAAGATATATGTACCTTCAAGACGGTACAAATTACTTGAGGACAACTCTACTACGTAATGTCTTGGGCATTCTACATTTGAAGCAGACAGAACAGAGACAGCTACAACCAGGAAATAATTTGTAATCAGAATTTTAAAATGTCACTTAAATTTGACAGTTCTGCTCTGCTCAAGTTTTACAACACACGTGTTTGAAGAGTTACACAGAAATTGCAGTGTAGTATATTCTTGGGAGGCCGACCCACAGTTCAGTGTCGTGGGTTAGACCACTAGAAGCGATCTTGTTCCGTTCTGGTGAACTCCCATGGACCAAGCAAGGGCCACCGTAACCCAGAATTGACCCCGTTCTAAGCTATGTTAGGCTCATGCCCAGAGCTTTTTATCATGCTACTTGTGGCCCATCCTTTTCAATTTTAGAAGGTTGAAAAACAGGAAAAAATGCTCATAGTGCCTTTAAATGTTTTTTCTATTTTGGGAGGCATGAGGTGAATAATGTACAGGTGCTACATGTTAATAGGGAGGACTGCAGAGCAAAGCCCTCAAAGGCCGCTCTTAATATCTTGGGATGCGTTTGTTTGCATGGGATCAAGGGTGTTGATTAAAGCCATTTCAGCATTAGGTTTCTGGTGCTTAGACACAACTTACCGTTCTTTGTACAATGCAGTTGTTTCTTTAAACAGCAAAATTCCATTCTGTCTACATATATTTTGGTTTGCATGATACACCTTTGTGGGAGTTGCCAGGTGTCACAGAAAGAACCAGCTGCTCAGAGTGCACTTCCTAACTCGCTGCCTGTTCCCTGATCTTAGGTGAGTTGCAGGACCTTTCTGAGTCCTGATTTCCTTTGTCTGTAAAACAGGCACAAGGATCTGTCCCTCACAGGCTTTCACCAGGACTGAAATGCTGAACGTAGGTAGAGCGCTCAGAAACAGTGTGTGTTGGATGTTAATTTCCTCTCCTTGCCTACCGACCTCACAGCTCACAGCCTGGCCTTTTTCTGCTAAAAGACATAAGATAGATTTGCCAAAAGTGTATTTATGGTCTGAAGTTTTCCCACTGCCCTTGTAAAGGAACAAAAAAAATAGAAGAGTAAATAAAACGGAAGCAATAGAAAGAAAGCATAGACTCTGCAGGCCTTACATTGGTCTGCTGCTTCTATACGTGTTTTCATCGAATGTCAATATTAATACTCCAGCACTTGTCAGGATGAATTTGGTCTTTCTTTGACTCTTGCAGTGTTTCTTTCTAAATTGGTTTTAGAGTAATATGTAATTTGCCTTCATAAGAGTATCCAAAACATTGTTCTCTCTCTTTTTTTTAATTGAAGTATAGTCAGTTTATAATGTCTCGATTTTTGGTGTACAACATAATACTTTAGTCATATAGGAACATACATATATTTGTTTTCATATTCTTTTTCACTGTAAGTTACTACAAGATATTAAAAATATTTCCCTGTGCTATACAGTAGAAACTTGTTTTAGTATCTGCAGAACTCGAACTCCCAATTTATCCTTTCTCCCCCACTCCCCGCCACTAACCGTAAGTTTGTTTTCTATGTCTGTGGGTCTGTTTCTGTTTTGTAGATAAGTGCATTTGTCTTTTTTTTTTTTTTAGATTCCACATATGAGTGATATCATATGGTATTTTTCTTTCTCCTGGCTTACTTCACTTAGAATGACATTCCCCAGGGCCATCCATGTTGCTGCAAATGGCATTATTTTATTATTTTTATGGCTTAGTAGTATTCCATTGTATAAATATACCACATTGTATAATAGACAGCTTTATCCAGTCATCTGTCAGTGGACATTTAGGTTGTTTCCATGTCTTAGCTATCGTAAATGGTGCTGCTATGAACATTGGGGTGCAGGTGTCCTTTTGAATTAAGATTCTCTCTGGATATATGCCCAGGAGTGGGATTGCTGGATCATATGGTAAGTCTATTTTAGTCTTTTGAGGAATCTCCATACTATTTTCCACAGTGGCTGCACCAGACTGCATTCCCACCAACAGTGTAGGAGGGTTCCCTTTTCTCCACACTCTCTCTAGCATTTATCATTTGTGGTTGAATGATGGCCATTCTGACTGGTGTGAGGTGATACCACATTGTAGTTTTGATTTGCATTTCTGTGATAATTAGTGATATTGAGCATTTTTTCATATGCCTGTTGGCTATTTGTATGTCTTCACTGGAGAATTGCTTGTTTAGGTCTTCTGCCCATTTTTGGATTGGGTTGTTTTTTTCCTTAAGTTGTATGAACTGTTTATATACTTTGGAAATTAAGCCCTTGTCAGTCTCATCTTTTGCAGATATTTTCTCCCATTCCGTAGGTTGTCATTTTTTGCTTAATACCATGGTGTTTTGATTACTGTAGCTCTGTAGTATTGTCTGAAGCCTGGGAGGATTACTCCTCCAGCATCATTCTTTTTCTTCAGTAATGCTTTGGCAATTCTAGGTCTTTTGTGATTCCATATAAATTTTAGGATTATTTGTTCTAGTTCTGTGAAAAATGTCCTGGGTAGTTTAATAGGAATCACATTAAATCTATAGATTTCTTTGGGTAGTATGGCCATTTTAACAATATTGATTCTTCCAATCCAAGAGCATGGGATATCTTTCCATTTCTTTAAATAATCTTTAACTTCCTTAGTCAATGCAAAACGTTGTTCTCTATTCAAACTAAAAATGATATCCATGGGTCATTTGGCCCCTTGAGTTTTTTAGCTTATGTATGTTTGATGCAAGGACACTGAGATGAAATGTGGAGGAAAAATGGTCAACTGTTTAGTTTTAAGATCAACATGATGCCCCTTATACATTTGGAAAACATGTGGAGAGTTCCTCATCTTTTATCTTTTCATCCAGATGTTTGATTTATTGTAGACATTCACTTGCTTAGGAGTCTGGTATCAGCTCCAAAGGATTTTTTATCTTACACCACAAATCCACCATTTTTATCCTCTCTAGGTGAACAGTTTGTCTAACTGCACAAATAGTAACAAAGGCCAGGAGCCTTGACCTGGGCCTTTGAGCAGTTTTGAGATGCACCAAGCTTTGCTTGCACTAAAAAAAAAAAAAAAATCCTCTGAGCATGGATTTTGTATCTTTATGTAGGACAGTTCAATATTCAGTCGAGTCTTGAAGCCTCAAAATTCTTTTGATCTGAATCAGTCCCCCATGCTGCCTAAGTGGCAAAAGAAAAGAAAAGAATACCATGAGTATACATTTAATGTTTTAGCTGATCTGTATGAGTCAAATGCAGTTGTTGCTGCTTTGGCCTTGTATATCTTTTCTGGGCCACAAGATGTTTTTATGAATATCTGCTATCAAGAAATTTCAGTCATGTCTAGGAGACTTCCAATTTATGGAGAGCTGGATTTGAAATTCATTCATTTTCCCATAGAAATCCTGTGGTCTGGGAAGGGAGGCCCAAGCTCTGCTAGGAAAGTGAGCATGTGAACTTCACATAGTTCCTTTATTCCAGGATCACCGAGCCTTCAATGGGCTCAGACTCCAGGAGGGGGTGGAGTGCGCCGTGTTTCAGAGGTCATTCGGCATGGTCGTCTTTTTGAGGGGAGAGCTCCTCACAGGGGTGGCGTTCTGCAGAACACACTTCAGGAGAAATTACACCTCATGATCTCTAAGCCTGTTTCCATTACTTAGAATCTGAGCTAAATTCAGCTTGTATAATTTTCAGTTTTAAATGACAGGTAGATGACAATTTAAAGGACAAGAGCAAAAACAGATTTAGGGTTCCCAAAACCCAGCGTACCTACCGCTGAGCCCCAGCCCTGCTCTATGTTCTGGACTCACTGTCGTACGCACTCTTTTGGCAGCCCATTTCTGGTCACCTCTTTAACAGGACACATCCCCTGCAGAACAAGAGGGTGCCCAAACTCCACCTTCCCGGTGGTGAAAACTTGAGGGAAGAACGTAGGAGTGGGTGGGAAAAAGGAATGTATTATGAGACCAGAAGTTATAAGGCTTCAAACAATGGGTTCAACTTTTCCCTCCTTCCTCTCTTAATCTCAAATGAGTGAGGGGGATTCCACGCTGCTGGAATTTCAGGAGGGAGATTGGGTGCTTCAGTGGCCACCAGATCCCAAGGCTGAAGGGATCAACCATAAAGGGCACCATAGGAAAGAGACAGGTGTAACCAAGGTCGATCCTGGACACTATCATCTTCTATATATTCACTGAGTTAATTCTCTGACCTAGGAATTGAGACTGAGATAGGTGGATGAGAAGGATTTTGATGCATTCTCTGTGGGACTGTCAGATTTATTTTAAAAATCTGGGAGGGACCACATTCAATAGGTTTAAAATATGAAAGTTTTGTTTTGTTTAAATAGCA